TGTCTGTCTGTCTGTCTGTCTCTGTCTGTGTCTGTCTGCCTGTCTGTCTGACCGTCTGTGTCTGTCTGTCTGTGTCTGTCTGCCTGTCTGTGTCTGTCTGTCTGTGTCTGCCTGACTGTCTGTCTCTGTCTGTCTGCCTGTCTGTCTGACCGTCTGTGTCTGTCTGTCTGTCTGTCTGTCTGTCTGTCTGGCCGCCCTTTTGCCAGCATCCCCTCGGATTTACTCACTCATCCCCTCTGCGACCTGTCGCGGAGTGCGGCTCTAATTGCATTATTCTGAGACGCAGTGGGAAGCCCCCGCAAAGATGGAAATGCGAGTGCTTCACACTGTGAGCCTCACACGCGACGTGTCCCCGAACCGCTCTGGTAAATAAATACCTTGCTGTATAAAAATGTCAGCTACACATGAAAGCATCTGGAACATAAACAAATATTACAATTAACACAGGGTGCTGTTCCGCCATAATGCAGGCCCACTGTTATCCAGGGCGACACATATGCCCTCACATATGCCCGTATTTCTCTTACTTAGGGCTCCCTGCCTTTTCTCCGGGTAGATGATGAGCCCCACCTTCCTCTGCTTTATTAAATCATTATCGCTTTGCCCACCGTCTTCAAAATCCCACCCTCCCCCCAATCATCTATCGTCAGAATGTTGCCACCCAGGCTACTGAGCCAAGAGCATCTGTTTCCCCGAGCGACGCCCGGATCTCGTCGTGCTGGGAGAGAAATGACTGTGTCCTGTCATGGCATCAGTGGAAGTGTTCACCTTTGGAGATAATTGGCGCGAATGAAGCACCATCCCCATCTGTACAGTCTAATAAATAAAAGGTGCCAGTGTCACATCACCTGGGACACACACACACACACACACACACATTTATATTTACACACACACACACACTCACACAGAGGTGGTGACAGTCAGCACAGCTGGTACAGGACTGAACAGAACACAGAGAGAGGACTGGTGAGACAATCAGGCTGATATTCACCTGCCCATCTGATTTAAGGACCCTGTATTTAGCTGATTAGGGGGGCAGGATTTACGACACTTGGGTTGTGACCTCAAAGTAATTCTCTGCTACTTGCCAGTACTGCCCTGGAGTCTCTTTGCGGCCGAGAGGCACGTTGGTTTTAATTCCCGGGTCTTCAATTAATTAGCCTTGATTGAGCTGTTTGCTGAATTCAGATCAGATTAAAGAAGCTGTGAGTTAAAGTGTCTCTTTCATTACGGAGGAAAACGCGTTATGCTGTAAAGATCCGTAACATACTATTCAAACATCTAGACCTTTGCAGTGAATAATAATACAGGAATTCTGAGGCGAATCACAGCCTTGTTAGTGCAGGCAGCCTAACATCCAGCGGGGAGGATTCTGGGTAATCTGCCCTGTCAGAAGAAATTAGGTGTCAGGGGTTCCACAGCTACACAAATTAGCTTGTAGCGGTTGCTGGAAGTCAGTGTTAGGTGTCTGCAAGGTTGTCTCTTGCTTTTACGTGAATTAAATGCAGTGTACTGTCCCTCTGGCATGCACACCGATGTATTTTATACATTGTCATATGCACAAAAGGTTTGGATGACACCCTTCAAGCCGGCAGTGTCGTTTAGCGTTTCTCTTTGCCGCCTTCCTTGCAGATGGCTGTGTGCGTCCTATCAGAGCGCCCCCACTCTGGGGACTCTGTCGCTGTCAGTTCAGGCCCTGTCTCTCTGAACTTTGGCTGCTTGGCTCTGCCTCCCTTAGATCAGGGAGAATTTTCAGCACGAGTGCCACTGCAGGCTTGAAAGACAGGGCAGCGGGGGAGCTGTAATCTGCGACCCCCCCCCCCCTCCCCTCAGTAGCCAAGCATCACTCTGGGGGGGGGAGGGGCTTCTCAGCCTCACAGCGCTGTCGCTCGGTGGTGATTGGTCTGTCATCTGTGGGCTGGCTTCTGCCTTCTTCTTCTGTGACCGTCCCTGGTGGAGTGGAGTGGGGGTTGATTTTAACAACGTTCCGTCTCCATGCTCTCGGGATGCCGCCCGGTCCCCCCTCCCCCCCGCCCGGTCCGTAATGTCTGTCTTTCTTGTTTACCTTTGTATTACAGACTGAAACCTTCCCGAAATCTCTTTCCCAAAGCTTATTACAACTTAATGTAATTAGGAATAATTAAGAAGAAGTGCAGCTTGTACTTATTAAAATGGGCATATTTTAATGCGTCTGCCTGTGTGCAGAGAGCTACAAACAGGTAATAATACGAGACAGTCCATGTCCTTTTAATGACACCACCTGTCACCCTGCAGGGACACTTTCCTCTGTCGTCATGCATGCAAGCTGCTAATCTCAGTGTTTATTTTTTTAGCAGATGCTTCAATGCAAAGCATCACATGTTTTTTTTTTTTTTTTGAGAGTCAGACGGTCTCCTGAACAATTGGGCTTCAGAGGCCGATGGTGACATCACTCTGCCGACCCACTGCCCCCAAAACAGCAGCACCCAATGTGGGGCTCGAACCCACAACCCTGAGAGTACAGGGCTCATGATCTGCCAGCTGATCTTGCTTGGCTGACAGGTGTGGGTGTTTGTGAATCTGTGATCTGAGTACTTGTATACACTTGTACGAGTCTGAGTATTTAAATACTTGTGGGGGTGTCACGCCGTGTCATGTGACCCCATGTCACACGTCACCCTTCAGCTCCCTTAGCCCTAGCAAGACACCCTGACTGTATCACTCACCTCTCAGGTTCTTCCCTGATGCCCCCTCTGTCCCTCATCTTTGGGGGGGAGGGAGGGCACTCTGGAGCTGATGGCCTCTGTGACAGGTGCACTGCCTAATTATCGTCATAAACAGAGAGCAGGAGAGCCAGTGTCTGACTAGGGGAGCTGGGGGGGGGGGCACTGGGCCACTGGAAGGGGTCAGATTAGTGCTTTCACATTTGGGATCTGGATCAGACCCTGTGATTCGTCCTCTGACACATGAGGCAGGAGTATTCTGTCAGTATGATGCACTCTTACTCTGCATGTGTCTTTATCGCAGTGGGACAGAGCGCTGATCAGCAGTTTGCGCCTCATCGTTTGGCCCCAAAGAGCTGGCGTGCGCTGCCGTGGGGGTGTCCGCACCGTGCACCCGGCCGGGACGGGCGCGGGATACCAGTGAGGTTAGCTGAGCCCAGCAGAGGAGCTGATCAGCAGAATGATGCACCGAGATGCAATAAACAAATAGGGCGATGTGACAGCCCTGTCTGGGCCAGTAAGGGCAGGCTGTGATTCCTGAATGCTCAGAGGGCACACGCTCGCACCCCATCACGCTCAGCACGTCCGCGACGCGCCGCCACTCTTCTGCTGTGTTTGCATTTTGTCATCTGTTCAGAAACAAATATAAAAAGTGTGGCTATATATGTACTGTTCTATGGTAACAGCAGCCTGATAGATGCTAACAGAGGTTCATGACCATCTAACGCTGCTTCTCCCACTAGCCTTGCCCTTCCCAGCCTCCAGCTGCTGTCTTTCAGCTGGGCTTTAGCCGCAGGGCATTCTGGGAAGGCCCAGTGTCACTGAGAATTACAAATGAAGGCAGAGCATCATTTATCAGCTTCCTCTGTCAGCCAGTGCGCTCAGGGGCAGCACCTTGCCCGGCCAGCAGGGGGCGGCGAGGGGATCAGGAAGCCGTCTCAGCGCCGCTTAGCGAATCGTGTCCGTCAGACAGCCGTTCCTGTGCCCTTGTAACATGGAGCGAGAGAGCGGCAGATAATCAGGGGGTGACGGCGGGCACTCGCTGAACTCAGTTGGATTCTGGGCCCCAAGAAAGTATATCATCATCTGGAAAGTTCAGGTCCAGAGAGTAAAATCCAGACCAAAATTTTCTTGCAACCAACCACTTGAATACTCTGTGACTGTGACTCTTTATACTCAACTGGTTGGTTGAAATAAAACCTTGGCCTGGATCTATACCTTCACACGAGATTCTAAAGGTCTAACTGCTGTTCCCCCCAAGACCTTCATTAGGGTTTGGGCTCTTCCACTCCTCTAATGCTATCCGTCCCACGTTCCCAGCACGTCGGGCCTTACCCTCCCCACGCCGTACTACCAGCCCGAGGAGGACGACGAGCGACCCTTCATCTGCTCGCTGGCGGCCGACAACGGCATCATGTCGTGCCAGGATGTGCCGGCGCGGCGGGAGGGGGGCCGCGAGTGCTGCCTGGACAAGGAGGACGTGCTGCGGCGCCAGGCGCTGGGCCTGGCCCCCGAGCCGCTGGTCAACGGCAGCGTCAGTGTGGCCGGCCTCTGCGTCAACTGGAACCAGTATTACACCCGCTGCCAGACTGGCCACAGCAACCCGCACAAGGGAGCCATCAACTTCGACAACATCGGCTACGCCTGGATCGTCATCTTCCAGGTGCCGACACACACCCACACACACAGTCACCTGTACTCATATCTTTGTGGGGACTGGGACCCTCCATTCATTTCTATGGGAAAAACCCCAATCCCAACAATGACACCCTTAACCCCTACCCACTTTAACCACAAGCAACCAAACAAAATACGAGACTTATGGCATTTGTAGTTTTTTTATTAGTCATAGATTTTTATAAAATTGAGTTTCTCCATTGAAAAGGTGGTCTCCACAACATCAAAATTACATTGTGGGGACATTTGGGATATATATACAAAACCCACAGACACACACACACACACACAGACACACACACACGGGCTGCTGATGCACCTCCAGTTGATCTCCAGGCCAGTGACTGTGTCTCCCCACTCAGGTGATCACGCTGGAGGGCTGGGTGGAGATCATGTACTACGTGATGGACGCTCACTCCTTCTACAACTTCATCTACTTCATCTTCCTCATCATCGTAAGTGTCCCTCTCTCGCAGCCCCAGGCAGAGGCTGCCTGATACACATACAGTGCTCCTGCAGTACTCCAGGTGATCTATGTTCAACTGGCAGCGACCAATCGAACCCCAGTCCCACTCAGGCTAAAATCACTATCCAGATCTAATCCGTAGTAAATACCATGTGGAGGCATTCAGATGCCCTTTAACCAAGGACTCACTCTAGTATAATTCTTTACCGTATTTACTGCTTCGGTTCCTTCAAGATCATCTCCAGAATTGAGTTCCGAACATTCAAGTTCTGAATTTTTCAATTTTATCAAATGATCGGCGTTAAGACAGAACAGAGATACACCTCCTGAGTGAAAAGGCGGCTGGTATTTTGGGTCTGAGCTCCCCGGTTCACCAAAGAAACATCCAGAGTTAATGGACCCTCAGAGATTAATCTAATAACTCCTAGCGAGCCGCTGCCCATAACACGACTTACACTGAAGCCTATTACTAGCCCTATTAGTGGCCTAATGAAAATGTGCTTCATTAGTCACTGTCATGTTTCCAGCAGTCTAGGTGGACTTTCACCTTGAGAACTGACTGTCCTCAACTGCTGGACATCATGGTGTTTCAGGTCCAGGAAAAGCAGGTTTGCACACCAGTGAGCTCCAATGGGTAACTAAGTGTGAGAATGGCCACTTAATTAGGGCCACCAGTGGGATGGCGCTGTGTCCAGAGGGGCCAGCAGGGGGCGCTGTGGCATGCCTCTTGGATGGCAGCTGTATCCATGATGCCTGAGAGATGTTCAGCTTCCAGAGTCAGCATTTAGGCTCCCTGTGAAATATATCAATGTGACAGGCAGTATATGAATGAGGTGGAGATTACATGAGTGCATTCTCGCATGTATGGATAGGTTCACACCTGTGATATACGCTCCACAGAGGACATCTGTTCCATCCCGTTCCAGGGCTGAACGTCGGAGCTGATGGGCAGGCTAGTTTATCATTGTCCTTCCGGGTCATTTAATCTGCTCTGATTGTCTGCTTTCAGGATCCCACCAATCAGGCCAAGTGGCTAGATCAGGTGCAGTGGCACATATGATATTAAGCTGAAATTCATCCCAAATCTCCTGTGAACACCTTTTAAATTGCAAAGAAATCAGGCATAATCGAGCAGCTTGTGCCGTCTTGTGGAGAGTAAGGTCAGTTTCTGGGAGACAGTGATACTTTGGTGATTTAAACAGCTTGACTGAGGCCTGCTGGGAGATTAAATTCCTCTGCTGGGTCTGACCTCGGCTCATGTCTCTGTTTGCCCTCCTCGTTTGTCTCCAGACCCCCCCCCCCACACACACACACACACACACACCGAGCTCTCGCAGTTACATCCTTACTCACAGCCTGGCAGACCGAAGCAAACGCACCCCGCTAATGGAGGTCGCGCAGCGGACCATCGCACGCACCGGCCTGATATTCTGTCCACTCGGAGCATGTGCAGCGCAGACAGGAAGCAGGCACAGCGCTCTCGCGCAGCCCAGCTGCTCACTCTGTGCACCGTTACAGAGCGATGCGTGATGTGCACATTAAAGCTGGAAGGCATTTTGCTGGCCATGCAGTCTGCATCGACCAATCAGAGAAGAGCTTTGGGCTGGAATGAATTTACAGCCAGCAGAGGGGCCCCATGTTACCCTCAAAGGGGCCACTTGCATGTTTGAGGTCATCTGGCAGCAGGCCGAACGCTAAGCCAATCAGCCGCTCTTGCCAGTCTTCCCAGGCTGGGATGTACTGGGTAGAGTAATGTCCCTCTGGCCACAGAAGGAGGGCGTCATTGCTTCAGGATGTAAATGTGGGCAGGGGTGGGGGGAGGCACTCAGTCATGATGAGTTAGGTGTTGGCCGCTCGCCCCGCCTGGGAAAGCGCCTGAGTTCAGCGCTTCATAACTCTGCTGCTGCAGTAAGGTCACCAGGAAACTGTGTGGTGTCCCACAATGAGGCCGCTGCCCCCGGACTGGGGCTGCTTCTCAGCACCAAGAGCGCAAAGGCCGTACTTATGCTCTTGGCAAGACCGGTGTTGCTAACTTGCCTCTCAAGAACGAAACCTGGGGCGCAGAGAATCATGGGATCGGGCTCGATTGGCGAGGATGCAGCTGATGAATCCTTGATATCTGGGGCGGAACGAGAACGACATCCGGGGATTTTTGCCATTGTCTGTGCTTCTGTTCTTGAGTTACTGGTCTTCGGTGAAATGGGTTCGCAAGAACATAAGTACGGTCAAGCACACATGCTGAGAAAGAACCCATTACTGATAAGCGTTACTACCAAAAACTGTGGCAAGAAAGCAAAGATCAGTTTCAGTCATTAATCAATTAACAGCGATTAAACCCATCTACATAAACAGTGATGCACACGATTAAATGCCTCCATGTTAACGACGATAAGTTCCAGCGCCTCTGTGTGAAAGGTGAGGTGTTGTTCTGTGTTGACTATGCCAGCTTTTTTTACAGCATACCGAGGCTGAAATTGCAATTTGAAGACATTCAAACTCCGAATGCATTGCCTTTCATTTTAAGTGGGAACCAGAAATCTTCCTGCAGAGCTGTTGCCGATTCGCAGAGAAGCTCTACATCCGTTTCTCCCTGAAGCGAATGGGAAGAAATGAAGATATTAGGCTCCTCCGACAGGAGATGAAATCTGTTACGCGGCAATTAAACCAGCGGCCTTGCGCAGGCTTTGTATCGTGCATGTCAGCCTCTGTGGAAAGCAAAGAGGCGATTGCGATGAGCGCATTATCTCCGCTTGCACACTAGCAAATGTGCCGCCTTGTAAACCGCAGGGAATGATTTTCCTATTAAGATCTAGAGATCAGCGTGCTCGTGGGGGATGTGCTTAATGGTGAGCTATTCACATCAGAGTATGAGGGGCACACAGAAAGGAGACTTCCCATAATGCTCAGGGGTAGTGTGGGTCTCTCTTGCCTGTCACTGACCCCAGGGTGATTTCAATGCGTACTGAGTGCCATATCATTGCTGAAGTGCTTAAACCCCCCCCCCCCCACACAACAGATTGGCTCCTTCTTCATGATCAACCTGTGCCTAGTGGTCATCGCCACCCAGTTCTCAGAGACCAAGCAGCGCGAGCACCAGCTGATGCAGGAGCAGCGGGCCCGCTGCCTGTCCTCCAGCACGCTGGCCAGCATGGCCGAGCCGGGCGACTGCTACGAGGAGATGTTCCAGTACGTGTGTCACGTGTTGCGTAAGGCGCGCCGCCGCTCCGCCGCTCTCTACAACACCCTGCGTGGCCGTTCTCAGCCACCAGGGGGGAGCAGAGCGCGGGCAGGGAGGCCAGAAGCCGGAACCAGCATCAACGGCGGAGACAGACATTACCACCCCCAGCAGAGTGAGTGGATTGTTGGAGTTAGAGATGGGCTTTGTGTTGGGGGACAGACAGGCAGCTAAATTGCTTCATTTGCATATTTGGGGGAGTCTATGATGGCACACACTGACCAGATGCTCACTCTCGGCTCCCACTCCTTCTCCGTCTCTCTCCTCTCTCTGTTTCCCTCCATCTGATCTAGTAGCTCGCTGCCCACGCCACAGCAAGCCAGAGAACAGCGCTGGCCCTACGGGGAGCCCCACCGCCCTCTCAGTCATGCCCGTGACTGAGGACTGCCCAGATTGCAGGATGGCTCTGTCTGTCAGGGAAGCGACCGGGGCTCTGGCCGTATCAGCCAATGAGGAGGAGGAGGAGGACAGAGCCATGGAGGAGACAGATGGGTATAGCAACCACCTGGAAGAGGACGAGGGGGCAGATGAGGGCGTGGAGCACAAGGCGGACCGGAGGAAGAGGACGAGCTGCTGGGGCTGGTGCAGGGCACTGGGAAGCCATATGCGTGTCAACCTGCGGAGCATCGTGGAGAGCAAGTACTTCAACAGAGGCATTATGATAGCTATCCTCATCAACACTATCAGCATGGGCATCGAGCACCACGACCAGGTAATCAGCACATCTTCTCCTGCCGAGATGACAGTCATTGTAACACTAAACCTTCTCAGTGTGAATGTAAACCCCTCCCTGTAGATACTACAGGTTCCTCCTGATCCCATCAAAGTGTCCTTGAGCAAGACACTGAACCCTAAATTGCTCCCGGTGTGCAGGTTAGCGCCTTGAATGGCAGCCTCCTCCACCGGTGTGTGGATGGGTGTGTGGATGGGTGAATGTGAGGCATGTATTGTAAAGCGCTTTGAGTACTCGTAGGAGTAGAAAGGCGCTATATAACTGCAGTCCATTTACCATTTACTAGCCTGAAGTTCCTTCCAGAAGAATCAAATACCTTACGTTGCTGTTGCTGCCAATGTAAGGCACTTAGTCACACCACTGCAGGAACTCTCGAAGTTGCTCGATTTGTTGGAAAGTCATTAATAACTACTGATCTATCATGTGTCAATAAATTCATCCATCCATTTGTGGGAAATCCAGTTAGCTTGACAGTGGTCAGAGGCCACAGCAGACTGTGGACAGAGGGACAGAATTAATCACAGGGCATGTCAGTAAATGCACTTAAAATTCCAGGTTTACTTTATAATTTCTGTTGTCAGGCTCCGGAGAGCCGCTGTTTGATGATGGCAGCTTTCCATCACACAGACAAACAGTGCACCTTTATAGACCACATGCAGGATCTTCAGATTCAGGCAATTTTCTTCTGTATCAAACAGAAATCTCGAAATTGTATTAGCTGCAGATCCAAAGCTCCAGCGCGACTGACCTTGAACTTGGCTTCACTAGGCTGTACACGAGGGCTTCTCTGTCATCTTGTGCTTGCAGTCTCGTACCCGTGACTCCCATTGACACTCCTGCTCCTGTTGGCTTAGGGAGGGCAATTAGATCTCCAAATCTCAAGGTTTCTCGCCCTAGCGTTGGCAAAATCCTAGCGTTCACCGCTCATCAGTGATCACATGGGACATGAACCCCTCGGTGTCCTGTGCAGATGACTTGACGTTGGGCGTCTGTCTTAATGTGCTGACCCCACACCCCCCCACACAGCCAAGTCTCTTAAAACTGACTCCAGTGAAAAAAGTAGAGCATTCCCAGTTTTGCGTAATTAGCACAAGAATTACCATAGGAAGACGAGAAAGACAGGATTATATTCAGGCAGCAGACGGCTGCCCCAGTGCGGAAGGGGAATGTCGGTTCTCAGCAGCGACCCGGTGCAAAAACATAATCAGACCTTATTGATTAATTAGCATATTAACTACCCTGGTCTGTTCTGGGCCCCCTGTGATTCCCTCATCAGTTTAAACATTTGAGTTCCACTTAAATAACATTGCAAAGTCATACAGCAATACAGCGGACAAATATTACTACAAGATTCCTAAGTTAACTACCTTTAATAATAACACAAGGTCCATAAGTACGGAGCCCCTAAAGGGACATAGGTGATTAAAAAATTTTTTTTTTACTGTATCTGGTGCACAAAAAAAAATTAATCACCTATGTCCCTTCAGGGGCTCCGTACTTATGGACCTTGTGTTATTATTAAAGGTAACTTAGGTTACAAGTGATAGAGCGATGAAACATAAGAGTACAAACAGGCATGTTGTTCTCCTCACATGCTCTGTGAAAGTCCCTCTGCATTATTCTGGTTATTTCTGGCAGGAAAAGTTAAGTGTTTTGTTACTTTTGTGGTTATAAAATAAAAGGCAAATTTGCATACAGTGAGTCATAGTGAAAATCGAAACTACTATTTTTGGTCTGGGTGGCTATGATGGAGCTGAATGGTGGCTGTACAGAAACAATCGGAAAAATCTGATTCTCTTTATGATAAGTGCCCCCCCCCTGCGCGTGCAGCCCAGCTGTGGTCAGCTGTTAGACCCCCCTCCCTTTGTGGGCTCAAATTGTGACTAGATTTTATCATGGTTTGGTGATGATTATACCTAAACGACTGAATAAGGCAGCATTGGCAGGTTTTCTTTGTAGGGGCTTCACTCTGGCCTCATAAGCCACAATCTCTAGATAAATCTGTAGACACACTGCATCACCCTGTGTAGATATTTTCTGATGGGTCGTCGCGTGTAGATTTTTGCTGTTTATGTAATTCATCATAAGCATTGTGAGGCTTGATGTTTTAGCACTGAGTTTCACCGCCATTGGATGATTATTAAGACACACCTTTATCCGTCACCACTAGGGGCAGCGCACCCATACAACGTAAACTCTCACGAAATTAATGAAGCATTTTATTTTCTCTTAAGTCGGCTGTCTAATCAAGTCTCTCGATGAGATCTTTTAGGTGCCATTTGTGCGACAGTAAGTCGAGGTTCACAGTTTTCACGTGGCCCGTCTTGCTCGTCTGTGAGACACATAGGCACAGATGAGAGCGAATTCTTGGGGTCATGATCCAAGGTCGGACGTTTCCCCAGCAGGCCTGGGCAGTTAGAGGCTTTGTTCATGGGGCCAACAGTGATGTGATTACTCTGTAACCTCGGAACCTTCCAAACATGAGCATAGATCCTTCACACGCATAGATCCTTCACACGCATAGATCCTTCACACGCATAGCCGCACGCCGCCTTGTCTGGGTTCGGATCCTGGCCCCCTAGCACAAACATCTTCATACAGACCCTCATTGTGTTAACTGACCATTTGTTGAGGGACATCCCTCCCTCCCCCAGGACCCAAGCGACGTTCTGATTATGACCTCATTCCTCACTGAGGGACCCTGGTGATGATTTCTGTGAGTTTCTCCAGGTGACTTCCTGGTGTTTTGAGTTAGTTGCAACTTGTCAACAAAACGTCAGATGAGCTGCACACCCAAACAAATTTTGAAAACGTGCTTAGCAGTAGATGCATGATGGCATTAAGCTAAATCCGGCTTAATGAGAGCACCACGTCCTCCCGGGTTTCATCCCGGATGTCTGGCAGGTATGTGCTGTTTTTTAATTCAGGCTGTGCAAAAGATTCTGTAAAAATCTCTTTCATGAAAAATAAACAGGTAGGGGCATGACTGGCACAATATATGTGCCATTAATTTGGGCATTTCACCATGTCTGCTTTTCTGGCAAAATGGTGGACTTTGGGCAGAAGTGCAGCATGAAGCTGGGTCTTAATCAGGACAAGGTTTCCCTCGGCCGGGCGGGGTGAAGAATGGAAGGTGGGGCAGAGACAATGATGCTTATTTGTAAGAGGTGTAGCTGCCTATATTTAGTAGTGCTGATAGTCGTGTCGATACTCTGCCGCTTTGAATGCCACTGTGGCCGATGCAGTCCTACGCGGAGCGGGAGCCTGGTCTCTGTCCCAGATGATCGATGGAAGGGCCATTGATCGCGGAGAAACGGCCGGCTTGATAATAGGGCCGAGGAACAAAGGAGACCAGAATGTATTTTCCAGGAGAAGAGTGAGAGCTCCTGTCAGTAGATGCTGTCAGCTCCATGAGCTTGATCATTAGCTGCTTCCTGTCATGAGAGTCTGCTTCTGCTGTCCTGCTACAGGGTGCTTCTCATGCTCAGCTGAAGCCTGGCACTCTGTGTCCAGATGCTGTGATGGTACCTTGAGGTCTCCTTCGTTTATTCCTGTTTACCATCCTCCGCTAGATATGCAGCATCACGCTACTGCTAATTTGCTTCCGTCTCTCTCTGTAATACCTCCAGCCAGATGAATTAACCAACGTCTTGGAGATCAGCAACATCGTCTTCACCAGCATGTTCACGCTGGAGATGATCCTGAAGCTCACTGCCTTTGGCTTCTTCAGCTACCTGCGTAACCCCTACAACATCTTCGACGGCATCATCGTCATCATCAGGTCTGGGTTCAGGGTTAGGGGTCGGGGGTTGGGGGTGGGGTGGGTGAAGAGCAGGTTCTCTGGGGAGGTGGTGCTGACCATCATGGCTGTGTCCCCCCCCCCACAGCGTGTGTGAGATTGTGGGCCAGGCTGACGGTGGCCTGTCCGTGCTCCGGACCTTCCGCCTCCTACGGGTCATCAAGTTGGTCCGCTTCATGCCGGCTCTACGGCGCCAGCTGGTGGTACTGATGAAGACCATGGACAACGTGGCCACCTTCTGCATGCTCCTCATGCTCTTCATCTTCATCTTCAGGTCTGCGTTCCAGCTGACTGTCAGCCTGAGTGTGGTGGCTGGGGGAACTTGGCCTGGCTGTGGCCAAGGGACTCCTTGATGAGCCAATAATGTGTGAAGTGAGAGTGATGATCCTTAATGCGGCCGCCGTACGCAGGGCTCTGTCAGGGCTGTGTGACGCCTTAATAAACAGATCTGATCTGTCTTCGCCGTCGCACCTTGGGGGCCGTCCGTCTTTCCTGAGGGCCGGAGCTCATGCACTCCATCTCCAGCAGCAGCCAGATTAATTCCAGCCAAACGCATGTCCCATGTGCGCTCAGCGTACTCAAACTCTGCCCTTTTTCCTCGTGCAGCCTCAAAGCTGATTGCGATTAACCATAAACGGGAGATTTGCAGAAAATGGCCCCCGCCGCTGACCCTTTATCTTGCCGCCGTAATATTTACCCGACTTAGACCTTACGCAGCGGCTCAGCAAACACCATCTGGCAACCCCGCTGGCTGGCACGCGGAGTCCTCTCCCGAAAAGTAAATTCACAAATGTGTTAATCCCTCCGGTGGTGATGTAACCCGCAGCATCCTGGGAATGCACATCTTTGGGTGCAAATTCAGCCTGAAGACTGAAGCGGGGGATACGATTCCCGACAGGAAGAACTTCGACTCGCTGTTGTGGGCCATCGTCACCGTGTTCCAGGTGAGCTGCCCGATGTCGTCCTGATATGCTGCTCCGCCGTCCTACGTGTGGTTCCCCGCCAGGGCTTAAAGCCTGGACCTCTCTGGTTGTGCGGCCGCAGATCCTGACCCAGGAGGACTGGAACATGGTGCTCTACAACGGCATGGCCTCCACCTCCCCCTGGGCCGCCCTCTACTTCGTGGCCCTCATGACCTTCGGCAACTACGTGCTGTTCAACCTGCTGGTGGCCATCCTGGTGGAGGGCTTCCAGGCAGAGGTGCGGCCGGTCATGTGACCAGCGGCCACGCATGCCTCGCCCAATAGGGATTCATATATGTGACTCACCATCATCACTAAATAGAAACACACACAAGTGCTGTGGACCTAATAATCTGTAACGTCCAGAATATAAGATAAAAAAAGCTTCATAGACAAATATACACAGAGTGCAGTGACGATAAGCATAGTGCAGTGACGATACACACAGTGCAGTGATGATATGCATAATGCAAACAAATAAACACGGCGTAAAGAAATCAAAAAGTACACTGTACAGAAATAGAATATCCTGAAAAACAGACTAGTATGGAATAATAAGGGAATAAAGAAAACAGAAAAGTAAATAATGTTCAGATATTTATAACATAAAAATATGCGGTATTTATTATATAAAATATAAATAAAATGTAGATATTTATAATATGAAAATACAAAAATATGCAGACATGGTAGCACCATTTGTCCTTACGGCTCATGGCACAGACATCATTTTTACAGGCTTACAGAGTTAGAGCCAGGATGTGTGAACAAAACACGGATGGTTTCTGACGCCCTCCTGTCCTCCTTCTGTCCTCCTCCTGTCCTCCTCTGCTCCTCATCTCCTGTCCTCCACTCTTCCTGTCCTCCTCTCCTCCTTCTCCTACTGTTCTCCTATCCTACTCTCCTCCTCTCTTCCTGCCCTCCTCTCCTTCTCTTCTTTCCATCTCTCCTCCTCTCCTCTTGCCTGTCTCTCCCGTCTCCACAGGGCGATGCCAATCGATCATATTCTGAGGACGACAAGTCTTCTTCCAACTTTGAGGAGACAGAGAAAAGAAGAGATTCCCTCCACCTCTCAGGTAGCCTCCCCGCCTGACAGATGTGTGAGTGACTTCAGGACATTCCTCTCCTTCGCTGAGAGCCTTGTGATTAATCTCACCTCTCAGAAGCATGGCGTGCTGCTGTGGACCTCCCAATTAAGGTTAACGAGAACAATAAACGTGTGTGCCGCTATCTCAGTGGACGCCGCCTCGCTCAGCCCGGGCAAGTGCTGTGGGAAGAACGGCTGCTCTGATTGGCTGCTTTTCTCTCCTGGGTAACGACTCAGAAGGCTGGATTAATAAGCGGCACTGCATTGTGCAGCCTCATATGTCACTCCCCTCACTGGATTCTGAACTGCAGCCCAAGGAGATTCTTCTTTTAGCTTAATAAAACTTCCAAATGCCATTGTCCAAAACTCGCTTTCGAGAATTTGAAAACCTCCTTTTCTCGCGCCAGTTTAATCGATTCCAGCATATTGTGCCATTCAGTGCTCCCAAGCATGCATTAGTGTGAAAGTTCAATAACAGAAATCCGTGCAGCATAAGAGAAAAGCCGACCCCGTGTGTCAGAGAGCCACACAGCCAGAGTATTTTTGTCACTGAAACATCTCCCCCCTCCCCCCGCTCTTCCAGACCCAAAGATCTGCACTCTTACCCCCAACGGACACCTGGACGTGACTACATCTGCCCCTGCCAAGGGGCCATGCCAGGCGGAGCGGCCCAGTCTGGCTCTGGGTTCCCGGAAGAGCAGCGTAGCCTCTCTGGGCAAAGGCAGTGGGGAGCAGCACTCGCTGGTGAGCACAGGCCGAGGGCGGCCGCTGCTGTGTCACACTGCGCTGTGCTGAACCGTCTGCTGTGTTGTCTGCTGTGCTGAGCTGTCTGCAGTGCTGTGCCATCCAATGTGACATACTGAGCTGAGCTATGCTGTCTGTTGTGCTGTGCTGAGCCATCCGCTGTGACACATTGCGCTGTACTGAGCCGTCTGCTGTGACAGACTGTGCTGTGCTGAGCTGTCTGCTGTGATGAGCCATCCACCGTGACACACTGCACAGTACTAAGGCATCTGCTGTGCTGTGATGTATATTGGGACACATTGTGCTGTGCTGAACCATCTGCTGAACTGTGCACACCAGGCGGAGTGGCCCAGCCTGGTTCTGGGCACTAGGAAGAGCAGCGTAGCCTCTCTGGGCAAAGGCAACATGGTGAGCACAGGCCCGGTCAGGGGGCGGGCACTGCAGTGAGACACTGCACTGTGCTGAGCTGTTTGCTGTGCTGAACCATCTGCAGCGCTGTGCTGTCTGCTGTAACACACCACGCTGTGCTGAGTTGTCTGCTGTGATGCATTGTGCTGTGCTGAGCTGTTTGCTGTACTGTCTGCAGGAGAGAGTGGGTGTAAATCAGCGGATGCATGACCTTTCAAGCATATTATCCCTTCAGGTAACCGAGGAGAGGAGCATAATCACACCCTCCCTGCCTTAATTACACCCTCCCTGCCTTAATTACACCCTCCCTGTCTGAAACAGCATAGGAGTTACCAACTGAAAAAGTCCAAGTTACTTCCCAGGCAGGAACTGAGCCTGTGGTAAAGACCTCTGAGTGAGGTCTATGTCATGATGTCACTGTGCTTTACACCCCCTTCACAGTAATGTCCCCAAACCCTTTAGTCTTAGTCCGCATTAGTAAACATGCTGGAAGCGAAAGGTAAAGACAGATGAAAGGGGGCTGGGAGGGAGCAAAACTATAGACTGTCTGGGAGGGAGTGAAAATACTGGATAAGTGACTGAAAGATGGATGGATGGATGGATGGATCTCATACCAGACAAGCTGTACATTCTGTGGATTCCCTTTGTTCTGTTTCTGTGAGTGCAGTGCTCTGGCCACAGTTCCCTCTACCACAACTGGGCGCGCCCTCACCCGCATTCGGTGTGGACCCGGAGGTCGAGCTGGAACAGCCTGGGCCGCTCTTCCCGCGGGATGGGGGGCAGCAGCCTGCGAGCCCGTGGGCCCCACTCCATCCCAGTGGAGCATGAGTCCCTGCTGTCGCCGCCTCTGCCCCCGCTGCCCCTGCCGCCGCCCCCCCCCTCGCTCTCCCGACGCTTCGCCCCCTGCCGGGACCGCCGTGCCCTCTCCCTGGAGCTGCCCGAGCTCCTGCAGGTGCCCGCCGTGCTGCCCCTCAACCCCCTGGCACACAAGAGGAGCCTTTTGGGGGCAGTGTCGGGACCCGGGCTGCCGGGGGAGCACCAGGACTGCAACGGCAGGGCGCCCAGCCCCACCCCCCAACTCCTGGGGGAGGTCTACCCGCAGGTCAGCACCCGCGCGGAGAGGGAGGAGCTCGACGAGGAGATCGACTACGTGAGTGAGGCCGCCGTCGGCCGTCCGCAGCGCTTACAGACCCTGCCTGGCGATTCGCGCACAGCTGCAGCTCAGTCTTGCCGTCTATCTGTCCAGCAAACTTAGTAAACTTCCAGCCCAAAAGATGGCTGAACACTCACAACTGTTATTTATTAACATAATCACAGTTGTCAGAAAACAGTAGCATCACTACAGCTTTTTCTCTTACAAAGAGATCCAGCAGAATGTAATTTGTTTCAGGGTTTCATTCACGGTAAGTCTTTTGTGTATTACGGTTTTTTTAAGCGAGGCAGGCTGGAGATAATGAGCATATTACAGCAAGATCATCATTCCAGTCGGTCCGGAGCAGCGTTTGCTTATTTAATGTCTGATGCTGAATTCAGTTACTGTTTGCTGCTAGAATCTGTATCCTCGCAAGTCATTAGTGGGAAGGGGTTAAAGCATTTGTTCTAATGAGGGCAATTAGGGGGGATTTCAACGTGCGTGTTGGGCCGTGTGCCCAGCAGGGCCGGCCAGTCACTGGGGCATCTGCCTCCTCACCCACAGAGCCTGTGCTTCCGGGTCCAGAAGATGATGGAGGTGTACAGGCCGGACTGGTGCGAGGCCAGGGAAGACTGGTCTGTCTATCTCTTCTCCCCACGGAACAAGTCAGTCACGCCTCCCCCCTCTTCCTGACATACAGAAGATGTGTAAAAAATATGGTCAATGTCACATCAAAGCATGAGGTTCTGAGGTTCTAACAGAGCACAACCTTTTGATCCAGCAGAACACCGTGTACGGTGTACGGCTTCTGTACTCTGCTCAGGAATAAGATCAATACCACTGGAAAATAAATATATAAAATGATCAATCAAGACATTAATTCATAAATTTCTTAAAGAAACTGCAAGGACCTTTCGTGAGTTTCATCTTTCCCCTCAAATTTCATTTGTTTGCCTCATCAAGACTTCAACATTCTTAAAGATTAATATCTTCTGTGCCTGATTTGTGTAAGAGTGTCTCAGCATGTCTCTGACCTTTGACTACGTGTCCATATTGACAAGGCTCCTGATGGACCAATAGAAATTCTCGTGATGGTTCCTCATGAATCTTTGATGTTACACGAGGTACACAATGATGCTTTGTAATGCATGGAGCTTCAACCTCCCATGTGATCCACAATCCAGGACTAAAACGTGCAGATATCCAGTCGATTACTATCCAAAACTAAGTGAGCATTTTGTAAGGCAGATGCACTGGCCTAGACTCTATTGTCAGCTATGCTGATCAACAGAGGAAACGTTTCCCCATTCATTTATAAAGTAACTTGGCCGCTATGTTGATCTCCTGCTGGAGCCGGAAGAGAGAACCACGTCCCCCAGCTGTCTAAGGGAATGCCGGGCCCTCGCCGTCTCACCGTCACACGCTCGTCCATAATGTGGGCACTTACGCTTCCGGCGTCTTTTAGGGAAGAAAGCTTTGTCATCGGTATAAGGAGTTTTAAGCAGGCCGTTAATTATGGCGCAGTCCTCTGTCATCCGCTGTGGGATTTGAACGTTCCCCTTTGTTCCGTGAAATGATCACATCTTCAAAAGGCTGTAAGACAAACAGCCTCCTAGCTGCCGCGGCGGATAATCCTGATCTGCTTTGAACTGGCGTCCGTAAAGTGTCGGCTGTATTAACCCTTGCCTGGCCACTTCTGGCTGCCTCTGGTTTGTCTCAGATGGGGATGAATAAAACCACAAACGTATATCGTGACTGCACAGCTGTCAGCCGTGATAAATGGTAACAGAGAGTCCTGCTGTCTCCACACAGGTTCCGGTTGCTCTGCCAGTCGGTGATCGCGCACAAGCTGTTCGACTATGTCGTTCTGGGCATCATCTTCTCCAACTGCATCACCGTAGCGCTGGAGAGGCCCAAGATCCACCAGGGCAGCCTGGTGAGACTGGGGCATTGTGGGTAGTGCTGGAACTGGGCGCTGGTGATGGCTGTGCTCTCAGCTCACCCTCTATACCCACCCACCCCCTCTTCTCCCCAGGAAAGGCTCCTGCTCACCATCTCCAACTACATCTTCACCATCATCTTCGTGGGGGAGATGACCCTCAAGGTAGGACACTCTTTCTCACTCCCCCGCTGGCCTCACACTAAGGGGTGAGCACCGTCCTCAGTGTTACCGTAATGAATGGACTCAACACTAGCACTATTATGGTAGAGTGTATTCTGGAAGCTGGACATCACATTCTATTAATGAAGTTAAAGGTCCCTCCTGATTGGCCAGCATGTGCATTTCCTGACACCTATTTTCTATCCTGGCCTCTCATTTTCCCCAAAAACGTCTGACTTCTTGTCACTGGAGCAAAGTGGATTGAGACCCACTCCCCACCCCCTTCTTGCTCTACACGAACGATTAAGCAATTATCTTAATTAATCAAAGCTTCCCCTTTCAGAAGCAGTCCATCATAAACATACCCTGTCTAGGCGACTGCGAGCTTCTGACACAATTCCTTCATCAATTATGCAATGGAATCAATAATTAACTAATCGTGAGAAGAAGAGATGGACCTGTCAGGACCTTGCCGTAGAGTACAGTGCGCTGGATGGACCTGTCAGGACCTTGCCGTAGAGTACAGTGTGCTGGATGGACCTGTCAGGACCTTGCCGTAGAGTACAGTGCGCTGGATGGGCTAGTCTCTGATGATGGACGCCACCTCGCATGTTCCCTCAGACTCTGAATCACGTTCCACGGCCCTACAGGCACACGCACGTGCAGGTAAACATAGGAGGGGAACGTAGCAGAGAAGCTGGCTAATGCCCCCCCCCCCCCCGCAGGTGGTGTCCATGGGCTTGTACCTGGGGGAGCAGGCCTACTTACGCAGCAGCTGGAATGTGCTGGACTGCTTTCTGGTCTTCGTGTCCCTCGTCGACATCGTGGTCTCCATGGCCGGTGGCGCCAAGATCCTGGGTGTGCTGCGAGTCCTCAGGCTGCTCCGCACACTGCGCCCCCTCAGGTCAGCATGAGTACTGCGGGCCCATCCCTCAACCCTCTGCGCCTCCCGCCTACCTGCTGAACCTCCCGGTAACTTTCTGTCTGCCTGCCCCCAGGGTGATAAGCCGGGCCCCGGGATTAAAGCTGGTGGTGGAGACCCTGATCACCTCCCTCAAGCCCATCGGCAACATCGTCCTGATCTGCTGCGCTTTCTTCATCATCTTCGGCATCCTGGGGGTCCAGGTGAGATCCCCCCCCCCAGACTGATCTTCTCCACTTTAGCTTACTGTATGTTCTCTCAAACAGCTGAGAGAATAGCTTCAGGTAGCTTCAGGTAATCCCCGGGCTGCGGCATCACACTACCTGAAGCGTCACATCACAGCATAAGTGTACATTCTGCTTCCTCTTCCAGCTCTTCAAAGGCAAGTTTTTCTACTGCTTGGGCCCAGATGTGAAGAACATTACCAATAAGTCTGACTGCCTTCTGGTTAATTACAAGTGGGTCCATCACAAGTACAATTTTGATAACCTGGGCCAGGTACGTCAGCTCTGCCGTCTGCAGCCGTGTGTCCGGAGACTCCGGTATGTGCTGAGGAATCCCTGAACACGCCTCTGTCTTTGTGTGTGTGTGTGTGTGTGTGTGTGTCTGCTGTGACCGTCTGCCTCCCCGTCCGCGTGTCTCTGCCCCCCCCCTCCCCGCCCCCCCAGGCTCTGATGTCCTTATTTGTGCTGGCTTCCAAGGACGGGTGGGTCAACATCATGTATCATGGCCTGGACGCAGTGGGAATCGACCAGCAGGTGAGGCTCCGATCGCAGAGGCTGGACAGAAGCCCTTAAGCCCTTAAAATACCACAGCAACAGTCAGAGGCTGCTCTGTGAGGCGTTCATCACACTGACGCTGACTTTTCTGCCAGTTTGCCTGATGGATCAGTTCTTATTTGAGAGGACTTTTTCATTAAATTCTTTGAATTGAGTGTAAGGAAACCTTACAGGTCTGAAAAAAACAGCTTTAACAGGCTTTTCCTGTTTTTGTCAGGGAATAGTCAGTCTCCTTGAGGGCTGTTCCAAAATGATTTTGTAGAAAGCCTTCTACAGACACCACATACTGCCCGCTTGTCCGAGAACAACACAGAAATCTGATGTCCCGGGCAGGTGATTTACCAGGGTTTTGTGGGCGGACCTGGGTCAGCTATAACTACGGGCAAAATAGACTGTTGCCACAGACCCCCAAATTACCCACGTTAAAGAGAAAGTGAAATGATCATTAATTTTCCTGGTGGGGGAGCCTTACAAGCAAAGCTTTGCCTAGGGCCCCTGACGAGGTAGAGCCAGCCCCGGGGCAGGCAAAAAATATCAAAATGAATAAATACCCCTTTTTCAACACCGCTCTCCTGTCACGTGTCGCAGTCACTGTCACTCGTGTGCGAGTCTGTCCTCCAGCAGCATATTACCCAGTGCAGTTACCAGTGCAGGCCTGAGTGCAGTTACCAGTGCAGGCCTGAGTGCAGTTACCAGTGCAGGCCTGAGTGCAGTTACCAGTGCAGGCCTGAGTGCAGTTACCAGTGATAATTCAGTGATTAAATAGATCCCAGTTACTGAGATGCCAGTACAGCTGAAACTTTACCCCCTCTGACTAATTTTAAGTATATCTGGGAGGCTGATGTGGCAAGAGGTCTCGTACCCGGACAACTAGCGAGCCGACATCCTTTGGTAGGATCAGCCGTGAGCCGGACGGACTGACCACCCTGGTCCTACCAGGGTAGCCTGAGACATCCTCAGGACTGAAATGGGAAGTAGGCAGCGGAGAGACTGTTTCACTCTGGAGGGCCAGGGGAGGGGGGAGGGGGGGGGTGCAGAATGATGACATTCTTCAGCTTTCCAGTGGCGCATTTTGCTCCCAAGATGGCTGCCAGGAAAGACAGGGAGTGCGTTCACAAGCAGCTCCGGTGCCGCGGTGCCTCGCAGACCTGCCGGGACTCTCCACACAGCAGAAAATCACGTTACGATGTTTACTGTGCTGAACGCCGCTTAAATCAGTGTGTACAGTGCTGAGCCCTGCAGTTATCTGGGGATTCTGCTCCTCTCTGCTCTCCGAGAGCTTCGTTATAAGGAGAAAGCAGCACTTACAGAGTTTTTGTGATCCCCAGCCAAGTGGAGACCCTGACGGCTCTCGGGTCTGCGTGCTCCAGGGCTGCGAGACGCGCCGGAGGGAAGGAGAGTCTGACTCCGGGGAACTGAAATCAATCAGATTTCTAAACGCCGTAAAATGGCTTTTCTCAGAAGCAATTGTCCATAATCAGTGTTTTACATCACTGTTTAAATTTGTGGCTGAAATTATTCCCTTTTGTAACATGGGGGAATTATCACATTATCACAAGTCTAACACGTATGAAAATAAATATGTGTGCTTTTGTGTTCTCATGTGTACTATGTTTTCCATGTTTTACTGGGTTTTACCATGTCTTACTATGTTTTTACCACGTTTGACTGGGTTTTTGCTGTTTCACCATATTCCACCCACCCTGGTCACCGCGGCTGCTGCACCTCCCTCTCTCCAAACAGCCCGTCATCAACAACAACCCCTGGATGCTGCTCTACTTCATCTCCTTCCTGCTCATCGTCAGCTTCTTCGTGCTCAACATGTTCGTGGGCGTGGTGGTGGAGAACTTCCACAAGTGCCGGCAGCACCAGGAGGTGGAGGAGGCCAGGCGGAGGGAGGAGAAGAGGCTAAGGAGGATGGAGAAAAAGAGACGGAGTAAGGGGCAGACGGGCTGGGGAGGGGTGGGGACCGGAGGTGGTGCAGAGGGTGTAGATCTGGGAGAGTTGCAGAGTGAGGGGCTGACCAGTGAGAAAGAGGTGATTGGTGGGTGGAGCAGTGGAGATGGAGGGGTGGGTGGAGTGACACCAGCTTGCTGAGAGGCAGTCGAGCTCCCAGCAGCCCTGCGGTGACGAGATCATGCTCAGTGCTCTGGGAATGTATCACCTCTTCAAGGCAATTAGTCACTCGCAAACTGCATGTTCCTTCCAGAGGATTCCAGGTGAGGATGACTGCTTGTTCCCTCCTGCCTCCTGTCCTTGCCCCCCCCCCCCTGCCCAGAGGCTCAGAAGCTGCCCTACTATGCCAACTACAGCCACACCCGCCTGATGATCCACAGCCTGTGCACCAGCCACTACCTGGACCTCTTCATCACCTTCATCATCTGCGTCAACGTGGTCACCATGTCTCTGGAGCACTACAGCCAGCCTCACGTGAGGGACACACATTCACAGCCCTGTCTGTTTGGGTGTCCTAACTCCGCCCTCCCATTGGCTGGCTGATCCCTGCCTTTGTCACTGTAACTAAAAGGTTCTTTGACCTGTGCACTCATACAGTATGAGTCTTATCACTGTCTTCCTGCTGTCCGTCTGTGAGTCTGGCTCCCCTGTGACCACAATGAGAATCTGAAATTCTGAACTCTATTAAAAGCTGGAATAATTCACTCTGCCTTTTGCTCTCTCTCCTCCAGTCCCTGGAGATCGGACTCAAATACTGTAATTACTTTTTCACCACCACTTTCGTCCTGGAGGCGGTGCTCAAGCTCATCGCCTTTGGCTTTCGGCGCTTCTTCAAGGACAGGTACTGTAAACCCGCCTTCAGCTGCGTCCTGGCGTCTGAGGACCCGGCGTGGGTGGCAGTCAAACTGCCGGAGTTACGGTTCTGTTTATTTCACATATTTATTTTTTGGGGAGGTTTTGGGGTGAAAGGCGCAGAGCTTGAAAAAGAAGATCAATTTAAAAAATAATAATAAGATGCTTCCCAGACGGCCCCTTGGAGGCCCCAGGCGGGCGACTGCAAAAATAAGCACAGATATGCCTGTTCTACGGGCGGATCGTTAATGTGAGCTTATTTCCCTAATGGCCCAGCGGCGTGTCGCAAAACTACTCATTTCTGCACCAATCACTGCTACTCAGAAATTAATCTTTTTTTCGCATGTGTGCAGGTTGTTTGGGAAGACGTGACCCATTTGCCACATTTGGCACTGGGAGCTGGTACTCTGTGATTGTTATTAATTTCTTGGGGCCCGTCGTAAGTGGGCCAGCTGGGAATGGCTGGGCTGCGTTTCTGGGCCAGGCCTGTCGCAGGTATTTGGGGATGTGGGGCGTGACCCGGATCCTGGCAGCCCTGCGTGTGGTGTGTGGTCACATCTCCTGTGGAGTGTGACATCTCCTCCCACGGCCCACAGGTGGAACCAGCTGGACCTGGCCATCGTGCTGCTGTCAGTGATGGGCATCACGCTGGAGGAGATCGAGATCAGCGCTGCCCTGCCCATCAACCCCACCATCATCCGCATCATGAGGGTGCTCCGCATCGCCCGCGGTGAGCCTCACCCTTTGGTGGCGCTAGTGAGCACGTGCACTTCCACTGTTTGGAAAGTAACTCCCAACTCTTCTCGAGGGAGCCTCCCGTGACTTATGTACTTTCTTCTCCATCACGGATGCCCCTCCCACCAGGGTCACAAAAGCAAGTCAGAGGTCACGCTTTTCATGATTAACCCTGAAGGGATGACAGAAACAACCCCCCCCCCTCCCAACAAGTCCCACGGTGGTGGCGAGGGGAGCTGGGAGCCCCTTGGGATGGCATGGGCACAGTTGTTGACCTGCTGCTATCCTTGTCCTGATTGGCCTGCCGTGGACACTGTCCTGATTGGCCTGCTGGTGTCATTGTCCCACTGTCCTAATTGGCCTGCTGCTGACACTGTCCTGATTGGTCAGCTGTTGTCACTGTCCCACTGTCCTGATTGGCCTAATATTGTCCCTGTACTGATTGACCTGCTGCTCATTGCTTATTGATCTCAGCATCTCATTAGGAGCTTCTAATGAAGCCAGACTGGGAGCCATATGCTCCAGGAGATAATGCGTCAGTCGAGCAAGCAGCAGTGCCACCATGCACCCCTGCCTGAGTTTGACATGGCTCCCCCTGCTGGCCATCTGATGCCTGCACAGCATTACACACAAATATGAGGGACTGGTGTGTCCTCCGACTCCCCAGGAAGTGCATCTTCTTTCCTGTGAACATTAACATTGTGTTGAAAATTGTGCTGAGAGGAATTTGTCAAACTTGGCTGACCCCTCGGTCTCTCTCTCTCTCTCTCTCTCCCCCCCCCCCCCCCCCAGTGCTGAAGCTTTTGAAGATGGCCACAGGAATGCGCGCCCTGCTGGACACGGTGGTCCAGGCCCTGCCACAGGTACACTGGCGCGTCCGTGACTCATGGCTCCTCCTGATCCCTCTGTGAGATTCCGGGCCTTTCTCTGGGCCTCCCCCAGGACGCTTACCTGCTGCTTACTGGTCCGTTTGCTGAATCGGCAGGTTCTTTCAGTCCCGTGTTTGCTTGTCCGGACGTCCCTGTAAGGCACAGTACGGCCCTGCACGCTGTTAGTGTGGCCGCACCCATATGTTTCATACAGACCAGAATGCCGCCATCTTAGCCGCTCACTGCCACCCCTGAGCTTGGTTAGCCACCGGGATCCCAGCATTTTTTTCTGGGTGTTACAGCAGCATTGTATGCTTGAAGGTAGGGCCCCCATATTGACTTAAGTCTAGGGCCCCCTCCCTGCTAAATTCAGTCCTGGATTGCTGTCCATATGGACAATGATTGTTGGTAAGCGGACAGTTCATGCCGGTGATTTTATTGTTTTATCACACGAAGACTCAGCATCCTGCCTGCCACACTCAGATTTCCCCGATATTTAATTGGCTCTGTTTTTCTTCTGAGTGAAACACCCATAAATCGACTAGCTCTCGCCTGACATGTCAGCTCCTCTGGGTGGGGCTGTCGACACCGTCTGCAAAGCAGCCCCCCTCGGCTGCTGTCGACACCGTCTGCAAAGCAGTCCCCCTCAGCTCCTGGCTGACATGCCTCTGATGTTACCACCAGTTGATTGGTTGATTTTTTTTGAGCAGATGAACCTGTTTGATGGTTGGGGACAAACCACAAGCCTGATTCCCCTTAGCAGATTCAAACTGCCCAGTCAGTTATTCCTTCACAATGAGTGTCTACTAGCTGAGAACTGAAAGACCCCACAAAGATGAACTTCTCTGTCAGTTGTAGTAGAACATCCCCTCCTGCAGGGGGCAGTATTGACCACTGCGTTTATTGCAGGTGGGGAACCTGGGGCTGCTCTTCATGCTGCTCTTCTTCATCTACGCAGCCCTTGGAGTGGAGCTCTTTGGGGAGCTGGGTGAGTGACGCTCGTCAGGGTATAGCACCGCAT